TCTTCAGGGCTCAATTTCCCTCTATTCAACTACCAAAACAGTAGAGAATATTGGATAGGTATGAGTAAAATTTCTTCCAAATTAGGTCATAATCTGAGTGTTACTCTTGTCACATATTCTGTAACAGAGATCAAGCTACCCACAAGTACGGTGTCATTTTTCTTCCCCCACATCCTTCCGCAGTGCAGAAATGGGAAAGCAAAAAATTACCTCCCTCCTACTGGTTCCAAACTCCTTATAGATCACCATTACCAACCTTTGATTCCTTATTTTTATATCACTATCCTCCTCAAAAGAATCTCTGAGCATAGTGGTTACAAGTCAGGCTGCTAACCTCAAGGCCAGCAGTTCAAAACTACCAGTGGTTCCCTGGAAGATGATGTTTTCTGCTCCCATAAAGATTTATAGCCTTGGAAAACTTATACAGGATTGCTATGAGTCTGAACTGACTCCATGGCACATAATCCCCACCACCACCATCCTCTTCATGGAGATCTGGTGTGGTGCTATGGGTTAATGTGCTAGACTCAAGGTCAGTTTGAACCACAAGGTCAGCCATTCAAGCTCACCGCTGGCTCCTCGGAATCACTACAGAGTTTCACTATGATTTGGATCTGACTCTATGGCATTTAGCAATAACAACAACATCCTCCTCATGGGTCACAATTGCCAAAGAATGATCATGAGGAGGACATCCAAAGAACCAGTTTCTGCTTTTGTGGAAAATTTATAAAATAAAATAAAGCTCTCAAAGAAGGCCGGAATCTCCATAGGTTTTCAATGATGATGATGATTGTTGATTTAGGAAAAAGTTCACACTAGAAATCAACAAGTCTGGGTTCTACTCCTATCTCTTTTTAGACTTCTGTGATTGTGAACAACTAATTTCCTTTTTCTGGGTTTAATTTATCTCAAATTAGGAAAGAATGAGTTGAACACAATTACCTACACATTTCTTTCAAATCTCAATGATACCAAGACTCTACAAGGTCTATTTCATTAGGAGACTTCTTCGTGAGCAACTAGAATTTGGGATTGAGTGTTCAGTGCATATTACCCCAGACAGTAGGCTCAGCTAAATGTGTAACACGAGATTCTGCCTTTGCCCTATACCACATCTCCAAATTCTGTATGTGGCAGATTTTTTTCATAAATGCTAAACTGTAAAATAACATGTTATAGGTAGAGAACAAAGAACAGGGAAGACTCATGAAATAATTAGCTAAAAGTTTAAAATATTGTTTTCAGCTTTCTGATAGGTAGTGAGTGACATAGAGGGGAAAAAAAGAAAACAACTAAAACAATTTAATGTAGAATTCAGCTTCAACCTTTATAAACCTTGTCCCCATTCGCTTCAGCAAAGAATTCTCCCAACACAAATAGACCCCAAACATACTTTTTAAAAAGGGTACTTGAAACATCCCAATCTAGAATAATAGGAAGTGGCTACATCCTCTCTTATTCCATTTCTAAGAACTCTAGGATCAAACAATGAGAAAATGATCAGACCAAAAGACTTTGAAAGTAAGTCCTTAGA